AGTTCAGCAAAAGAACAAAAATCATATTTCAAGTTTAATGCTTTCAACTACAAGCTAAAAAAAAGACATCATCCAACTCATTCAAGTTTGTCTTCTAGGAGTAAAGCATCTAGATCGTCCTCTTGAAATTCGTTAGATATGTCATCCTCCATAAATTCTTCATCTACGTCGTCCTCTTGAAATTCACCATCTATATCCTCCTCTTGAAATTCATCATCTAGATCTATGTCGTCCTCTTGAAATTCGTCATCTACGTCGTCCTCTTGAATTTTATCATTTATGTCGTCATCTTGAATTTCATCATTTATATCGTCCTTTTCAACATCTTCATTGATACATTGCTGCATAAGAAAATAAAATAAAACACATTAACCATAAGTATTTTTGGTCCAAAAGACAATTAAGACATCAACAAGAATTAAACCTCGCACAAATAAAAACTAAACCAATGAGCAAAACACATTGTTTATATTCTTCACATCTCATGGATGTGAATTAATTATGAAGGTTTTTAATGGATGTGAATTTTCGCTCTAAACTGTAATAGGTGACATGAGCTTACTAGCAAATAAATCAATTATGAAAACCATTCTGTTTTTGGCTCACTATTCTGGACTTACAATAGCCTTTAACTGTATGTATGTATGTCTGTATAACTTGTGCTATCCTTTTATGTTTATTTTTTGGAGTAAATGAACTCTGATGAACACTCTTACTTGTTGTATCTTCTTTGGTGTTCAGTATCATATGGATAAATTTACAGCATACATAGTGAGTGTTATCAAACAAGGGGGTCCCATAATCTTATCCCAGGCAAGTATGTTTGTGAAATATCAATGAAAGCTTGCACAAATAAAACAGTTTCAATCTCCAATGAATTCGAAGTCTAGGAGCCACGGGATCAACCCCCTGCTTGCTTGGCTTCTATCTACAAACTCCCAAGGTAATTCTTATAACTCTCCATGGTACCACACAAACTCCATCCATGAGTAGTTATCAAAATCCATCCATGCCTTAGCAAGTCAACTCATGCCCCATGCCCTGACCTTATAGCTCTTGCCAGTGCTTTGGTCCTATACCTCGTGCATTCCTCAACCACCAACTTTTTCCATGCCAACCTACCCTAGTTTCCCTCAATTTTCTATGGTAACTTCCATACATGGTGCATCTCAATTTAGGCCATAGCCAATGATGGTTATCTCTGACTCTACAAGTTCAGTGAATTGGTACCCTGATTCAGGTGCAGCTCCATGTCACCTTCAAAGCTCACAACATCCAACAGTTGTCACCCTTTGAAGGTCATGAGAGGGATTATCATTAGCGATGACCAAAGTTTTTTTGTCCTTTCAACTGGTTCTACAAAATTTAATTTTTCTTTAAATTCAAAATTCAAGATAGTCTTAAATAATCTATTACATGTTCCAACTATCACCAAAAATCTACCAAGTGTTAGTCAATTGGCCAAAGGCAATTAAGTCTACTTTGAATTCCATCCTAATCAATGTTTTGCTAAATGTCAGGCTTCCAATGAGATTCTTCTTACGGGATGACTTGACCAGAATGGTCTCAACAAATTTCCTAGCTTGGTAAATCTAATTAGATCAGCAGCCTCATCCACTCATAATATCTCAAGAAGTTTCATTTCCATTAGTCCCGTTGTAAATACATTCACAGCCAAGTGTGAATGTTAAACATTTTGTACTCAAATCTTGTAATATTCACTTCAATAATAAAAGTACAGGTTATTTTTGCTCTTGTTGTTTAGGTAAAGAAAGTTTGATGCTCCTACCACCTTCCAACAATTTAAAATTATGATTGAAACTCAATTTCCCTACAAAACTAATGGCTTTACAAAGTGACAGGGAAGAAGAATTCAGATCTTTCACTCAATTTCTAAACCCAAAATCCTCTACTAATGCCCTTCTTTTGAGGTTGTAAGTTCTAGTTAGGAGCATATACAAGACAAAATTAAATCTAGCACAGAAACATATAGAACACTGCAAACTCACCTTGATAATATCTCTGACCTGCAACTTTTTCCAGGGCATAGGCGCCCACTTATGATCTTGTAAAACATCTATCACATTATTGTTTATGGACATATCATTTTGGAAACGTTTCTGTCGTAAGAAATTTAAGGGGAAAACATATTAATAAGAAGGATACAAAGTGAAATCCACTGTAACAAATCAATTTATGAGAAAGCCTCAGTATTTTGCAATAATGATGTCATCAAAATAAACACACATCTATGCATGCATAAACCCCCTTTCATTACATATATGGAAGTCATAATCACATTTTGAAACGAAATAAGAATAAATTTCACAAACTTGGAAGCATTGTGTGATAAATGCTTACACCGTATATCTATATACACATCAATTCAGCATTCTCCTATAACATCCTTAATTGGAATTTCCTATATTATGTTGACTCAAAATATGAAATTGAAATCCCATACTCTCGAAAACTTAAGTAAAACATACCAAAAAGAAAGCAATGTTCAAAGAGAGTGAATAATATTCTTACCCAGTCCTCAAAAGCTTCCTTAATAAGAGAAACGAGAAGCACCAAAGATAGAGGAAGCACATTAGTTATTGGAGAGACAGGACTACAACATCAGAAATTATGTAATTAGACTCTAAATACTTTCAAAATAGAGAAAACATCAACATATGAAAAAGTATATACTACTGATAATGACTTTAACATTAATTAATTAAAGCATGGCAAAATGATACTGTGGCAGTTTGACTAGAAGCTCATGAATCACAATTAAGCTTGCATATTGCAAAACAATCCTTGAAATACAATAATTTCTAGCATTCACATACCTAATTGGGGTGGTTGACAAAATTGAGATTGTAAGAAAGTAGAGATTAGCCACCCGTCTGAACTGCAGGACAAACAGGAATTTCTATCATCTGAGAAAACATAAAAACCCTGATAATGTGGCCAAGGATAGACCCCATCATTTAAAAACAAGTATCATTTACCTTCAATAAACAATAAAAATGTGGACAAAAATCAAAAGCATAGAGAAACTTACCTGTTCAAATAATCCTTTAGGCAGAAAGGTGAAAAAGTTGTATTTTGTAGTCGATATTGAATTCCCCTGAAATAATGGATATTAACTAACCAAATCCAATCTAGTTACAAGACATAGGCATGTAAATACACAATATAATCTCACACATGAAAAGAAATCCACTGTTTCTGTTTCTGATAGCTAGTACTATCAACTTGTGAAACAAGCTGGCCATAGGGATCTGGAAGGCCATAGACATCTACGACACCTACAATCAACATTTCTTTGTCAATGAATGGTCCAACATTTATGGGCAGAAAGTAAAATCTATTGTTTTGTTGTGCGTTGCGTTGAGAAAGAAACGTGTATAAACTTTTTTCTAATCCTATTGTTTTAAGCCCAATGGAAACAGTAAGCTGTAAACATTATCAAGACTACCAATATAGATCAATAGAGTGATTAGTATCTCACCAAACATACCCATACTTGCATATATATATATATATATATATATATATATATATATATATATATATATATATATATATATATATATATATATATATATATATATATATATATATATATATATATATATATATATATATATATATATATATATATATATATATATATATATATATATATATATATATATATATATATATATATATATATATATATATATATATATATATATATATATATATATATATATATATATATATATATATATATATATATATATATATATATATATAGAGAGAGAGAAAAAACATAAAGAAAAGGAACCTTCTTACTTTAATTTCCTATTCATGGATGCATTGCTTTTGCAGAGAAAAGCAAACTACATGTCTAGGGAGACCATAAATTTATTGTCCCCCAAATGTCCAATATGTACGCTGTCCCCCAAATGTTCAAAATGTACATTTTACTACATTAGACTATTAATATATCTAATTCATATATTAATCAAATACATTAATACTAAAAAAATAAAAGTTATTTATAATAATGTTCAGCTACTTTTCTTATATATCACTCTCATAACAATAACTCACCATCCCAAAAATGAAAATCCACTTCATCTTCTTGTTCTTCTCACTCTCTTTTTTCCATGTAAGAAACACTCCACAAAAATGCATAATAGTCATATACTAGTACATATTTACTTCAGTAATCTGCATTATATATTTACTTTCCTTTGCTAAGTTTGTTATTTTCCTACATGTAAATTATGTCTTACTAATTTTGTATGAATGCAGGGTTTTATAGCAACCATTGGCAGCAAGGAAATCACTGAAACACAAGAATATTCATTCAAACTAAAGACAAACCCTTTCAGCCCCAAAGCCTCACTCATTCGTCATTGGAACACAAGAATCTCTAACAACCTTCCAAATTCAATCCCTAATTTCTTTCTCTCTAAAGCTTCCCCTCTCACACCATAACACTACGCCAACTTAGTAAATCTCCTTAAACAAAAGCCCTTATCTGCAAATTTCCATAATTCCCTCTGCTCCACACCATACTTATTCTGCTCCTTCGACCACCCAAACCAATATTACCAATCCAAAAAAAACACCAAAGATGATGCCAACTTCGCAGTCTACTCAAACAAAAAATTCGCAGCTTATGGATATCTTCTGAAATATGTGCATACAGAAACACAGCTCATATTGCGGTCATTGTAATCATACTGCAACATATCTTTGTTAGAATCAGTTTAGTAACTGATGGTAGATTAGACCTCTAGAAATAATGCGGTCACTGTAATCGTTCATTCATTTTCCATATAATACAAATCCGAAAATTGATGAAAAGGTTTACACAGTTCCACTTCTCTCTGTTTTCTCAGTCATCTCCTTCGGATCATTCAATTATCATTCTGTCTCCAATACTATTTTCTCAATAAATCCAGCAGACTAAGATAGTGTTTCATTATGTTCATAGGTAGGACGACATGATTTCAATGAGGATTACATAGTTTCCTTTGAAAAAGTAAAGATAATACATATCAGGAAAATCTACATAATCATCCCTTAAAGTTCGCACAAATTTAGTACGAAATGTAAAATAGAACTCACCCTTCCAGGTTCTTAGCCTCACAGAAACTTCTGAAGGCGGCACAAATATTTGTAACTTTAGCAGCGCCAACACTGAAACAAACAATTCACAAATAATAAAATAAGAAGAAGAATAACACAAAAAAATATATTTCTTCAAGCTATAGCAGTAATACACTAAAGATATAATCGAAAAGAAATACAACATCAATACCTAGCACTGCTTCCCTTCTGTTGATGGGCATAAGCATCAATTTGTTTGAAATTCACATCTTTTTGTCCTCTACACATAGTCAAATATAATCATTTTAAAAAATTTCATAAACCAGCCTCATATGTTTTATGTGTCATCTCTTTCAATCATTCTCATAAAGAACAATCAAATTTTTTTGTTAAAAATCGGGTATCATTTGCACGCAATTGCAGAGACTAATCTCTAACGCAGTAAAAGTACAAGAGAATAATAATAATACTTACAGTGCATGTGACATGTTGTTGAGTAGTTTATCAGAATCGGCAAAGAACAAAGTGATAACCTCATACACAAAATCTGGACTACTGTCATCTTGAAGTTTCTGAAGCTGACTGAACTGATCATCCAGAATACCCTGCTCCCCCAATAACCAAATTATCAAATTTATTAAATAATAATCAAGATTCTTTAATCTGAAAACAAAGGGTGATTAATTATAAATTTGAATGTAATAATTGAGAGAAAAGGAACAAGAACCTGTTGAATCATGGTAGATTCGAGGTCGCGTAGCTTCCTCTGTAAATGATCCATGTTGTTGTCTATGATTCTCGATACAACTAGCAAGAAAAAGAGGTTATTGAGTTGAGATTGAAAAGGAACAGAAGCAGTAATAACTAGTAGTAAACATTTGTGTCTGTTTGTCTGAATTCTGAGATGAAAACGTCACTGGTTTTGGTTTGTTAGGTTTCCGAAAAGGGGATTTTTCCTTAATTTGCACATATACTGCTTCTGGCTGGTTCTGTCTATGTACTTCCTCTTTAGTCAAAACTAAAAACTCTTTTTTTTTTTAATTAAATTTTTTTTATTAAATTTTCTTTTCTTTTCTTTTTTGACTTATATATATATATATATATATATATATATATATATATATATATATATATATATATATATATATATATATATATATATATATATATAATTTTTTATTTTCTGTTTAATTGAAATTTTTTATTTTTAAATTCCTGTGTTAGAAAAATATTTTTTTTATATATATTAATAATGTTTAGAGAAAAATATTTGTTTTTTAGTGTATAAGTTTTGGAGGGAAGATTGCCACCAAAAATTTGATAATTCTAAAAAAAAATTATACAACATTTCAGAAATGTAGTCTTTTATTAGAACTAATGTAACAATCTAAAAATGTCCCCAAAAATATTTTAGGGGACAATTGTCAAACATTGCTAAAGAAATAATATTTTAACGCTCTAAAATCGTCCCCAAAAGCAGTTAAGGGCACAATTAACAACCGTTGGCAAAAAAATAAAAGAGTATCGCTCCATAAACGTCCCCAAAAGTATTTTAGGCAACGATTATCAAGGGTTGCAAACATATTTTTGACAACAATCGTAAATCGTTGCCTATATGAATTTAAGGCAACAATTTTTACATGTTACCTAAAAAAGTGTTGCCAGAGACAACAAATGTTGTAGTGAACCAAGTGGGAGAAACCCTAAGGGTGCTTGTGTGCAAAGTGTGTCATTTTTCATGCCTTTGATTTGTCTTGTATTTAGAGTTTTCTATTTGTTTTGTTTTTGTTCTTGTCATGTAAACCCTAATTACTAAGCATAGTATATAAAGCGATAAATTGCGTAAAATAAACTAAGCTATTACAACAATTGTTATGGGAGAGGGGATACAAGTTTGAATGTGGATTTTGCACAAATATAAACCTAAATATATTATTACAACCAAATCGAATATTGCGTGAATTAAATAAATATACAAATATTTAAAATGCAATGCAATGTATTTATGTAAAAAATGTTTTGTGTTTTATTTTTGTATGAGAAAAATATTTAATTTAAACCCTAAAAAAAAGGAAAAAAATAATATTATTTTTTGAAGAGGTTAAACCCTAATTTTCAATTAAAAGAAAATACATGTTTCATATTATTATTTTGTACATTTTTTGTATAAGAAAATAATAAATAATATTATATATAAATATTAAAAATTAACTATGTATAAAAAATAAGTATTTATGAGTATAAATAGTATAATAAAAATATTAAGTATTTTTTATTATATTTACAAGTTATTTAAGAAAATAAGTTCTATTTATCAAAATAAACCATTTTTCATGTGAGATAATAATAAATAAAATAAAAAGTGTGAAAATAAATAAATCATTTTTGGTATTTTTTATCATTAATAAAAATAAATAAAAGCATTAAATATAAAAATATGAAGAAAAAGGCAAAAATATAAAAAACTAGTCAAGGGGGTGTAGTAGCAAGTCAGGGGGTGTGATTAGTAAAAACAAAAAAGGCCAAAGCTTCCAAAAAGGCCAGAAGCCACTTCATCCCTGTCCTTGTTCTTCTTCTTCGCGCGCTTCAGTTCAAATCTATATCTTTCTCATGCTTGCATAAAAACAAAAACTCATAACATGAAACATGTGGCATTTGAGCTCACGATTCCAACCATATAAATTATGTAACCTAACTCTAAAAGATCAAGGAGAATTTTGGAACCCCTAATTCATGACCTAAAAAATTCATGAACTTCAAGCTTCAAATTCTCACAGCACAAGTAACATAAATGAAAAGTAATGATATGTACAGCTTTGTTATGATAAGGACTACATTTTTCCTTCACAAATCGTGGCTTGAGGTTGCATATTCAGAGAGATAGAGTTTGAAAAAATACCTCTTTCAGCTGGAAATGTGTAGGATAATGTAGGGACTTTTATGGAGGCCTGGTGATCGTTTAAGCTTCCTTGAACCTCCCTGAAGCTATTCCAATGCTTATCTTGCTTTGAGGATGGCTGGAACTTTCTGGACAAGTCAAGCTGCAAGCTTCCAAAGTGAAAATGGTGGATGCTGAAACAGGGGTTACAGAACCAGGATGATGGCTTGGATTGGTTAGTTAGCAAGTGTATGGGATGCTTGAAGTGATTAAACACAAAACGCATGAGCCAAATGAGAGTTGGCTGTGCTTTTGCAGAATACTGTATATTTAGGCAGAATTTGGTGTTTTTGAGTTTCAGAGTGTTTTAGGTGCAAGAAAATCGTGTTGTGCTTTGTACAAGATTTGTATATTTGTATAGAAGTGATACAAAGTCAGCTCTTCACTAGCTGTGCAAGCTTTAGCACCTTTTGCAACTTTTCTTGCATTTTAAGTAAAGTGAAGTGACCAATGCTACATGCTTGTACCAGTTTGCTTGAGGGCTGAAAAGAGTTGGTACACATTAATTGAGATTTGTATACTTTGCTTGTACCAAAGGGACAGGTTCAATGCTCAAGATTGACAAAGTTGCAAAAGTTCCCCTTTACGAAAATGGTATTGTGAACTTTATGCCAAAAATAGAAATGCACCTTGTACAAAGCTTCAAAAGCAAAGATAAAGGCTTTAGCTTCTGAGTATGCATTTAATTATGGAGTGTATAGCAAGCTTAGGACCTGTAAAGCAAGATATAACCATCACAGATTGGATTTGCAACTTGATGCTATGTGAAAATGGCTTGATCAAAAGTGAGAAAATGCCAACTTCCCTTCTTCGATTCTCCCTACTCAAAAATGATCTTGGAGAGTTCTTTGACATTTTGGAAAGCTTGCAATGTGCTCTATAATCCATCTTTGAGATGAAATTTGAGATACCTCTTGTAACTATGTGAAAAATTTCCATGAAGTTGGGTCTAAAACCTGCCTAAATTAGGGCAAAATTTCACTAAGTTAAGAAGTTCATGAACCTATATTCACAAAATCATAACTTGAGATCCAAGCATCTTTTGGGAAAAGTTTGTGAATAAAGGTTGTACATTTCATGGAGGACTACAACTTTCATGTTGGGAACTTTTCTTGAATCAAAATGCATCATGGTGAAAAAGTGGTGAAAAGTTGGGAAAAAATAAGAAATTTTTTATACTTAGAAAAATCCTGTTATGAAAATTTTCAAATTCAAAACCCTAATTTTCAAATTTGGTTTTCTTGGTGAACAAGTTTCATATTTTGACATATCTTGATAAATTATGACCCTTGGCACTTGATTTTGACCAAAAAGTCAAAGTTTGACTTTTCAGTGTACAGTTGACTTTTGATCAGTCGACTGCAAAATTCATCTGTCAATCCAATGAACTTGAGATCTTTTGAACCATGTAATTAGTTCAAGATGATGCCATTGAACCCTTGGAATCATGCTTGAACTCAATTGGTCATTGGCTAGGTTAAAAATCAGAAATTGCCCTTTCTCTGTTAAAACCTTAATTTTGACCATTTTGCCCTTTTGATGATTTGATCAATTTTCTTGAGGAGCTGTGATCCAAACTTGATCAAATGATACATATGAGTCTAAAATGTTGATGTGGATAAAAATTATGAAGTTTGACTGTAAATTGGCCATGGTTGACTTTTTCCCCAATACAGTTGATTTTTAGGTCAACTGTCTAATTGACTTGATCAAAAATGTGGTTAAAGGCTTGAAACTTAATATGAGCAATCTTAAGGGTCCAAAATTATGTATGAAAGTCACATGAAGCATTAGTGGTCTAAAAATCCTTGTGCAAACTCAAACCCTAATTTTGGGTAATCAGTGCAAGATGAGATGTCTTGAGCTGACCAAACCTTAATCTTGTCTTGAGTCCAAGAAGTCTTGTGAGAAAAGTCTTGATAAATGAGAGGGCAAATTTTTGGGTACAACAGCTGCCCCTGTTCAATCTTCTTGAACCTGAAGAGTTAGATTGGCGAGCTTTTCCGTTCGTGACTCGAAGGTAAAAGATGATTGGACACTAGAGTGCCCATAAATTTACGCTCGACGAAGTGTTGCTGAGGGAATGGGCTTAAAGATGCCATTTGGAGAGGTGATAGAATCTTGTTGGAGATGGGCTTGTAGATGCCATCCAAGAATGTTTTTTGAATTGTAAGTTGTAAGTCAAAAGAATGAGTATCAGAATGGTGTCCGTATCTGGAACGTATGTGAACTGTATTTGGAGACTGAATCTGTACAAGCAATGGAATAGCGTCCATGTCTGGAGCGTATCCGAGCTGCGTCTGTACTTGAATCTGAATGAGTAATAGAATTACTACCGTGTATGGAGTGTATATGTACTGTATCTGAAGTTGAAATCTGAATAAGCGACAGAATGGCATCCGTATCTGGAGCGTATCTGGACTAGAATCTGAATGAGCGACATAATGGCCACCGTGTCTGGAGCGTATCTGGACTGTATCTTAAAATTGAGGTCTGAATGAGTATCAGAATGGCATCCTTGTCTGGAACGTATCTGAACTGTATCTGAAAGCTGTCTTTGGGGAATCCATAGAACTTTGATGACTTCTACTGGGGATTAATGACGGGAGTCTTCATTCTGTTGGGGAGTAATGAAAACTCTGTGGGGAAAAGCTTATTCCTGTTTGTAAAAAGTTTAGGAGTTTCGGTCGTCTGCTACTCTACCGGGGAGTTATCTGAAGTTGTTGTCCGGTTGGTTTTCAGGCTTCAAGATAACTTGCAGGGGAATTTGGAGAAACTGAATGGTCTCCACTGGGGATTAAAAGTTTGAAGTTTCAGCTTCGTTGGGGATCTTAATGACGTAC